TCAGGGGCGAGGGGGGCGGCTGCCCCTCAGGAGACAGCCCCGCCCCCGAAGGCGGGACCTCAAGGCCAGCCCTGGCGCTGATTGGGCGGCCCCCAGCCGCCTCTGGCGTCGATTGGCTGTGTCGAGCACCCCGGGAAGGGCGCGGCGCGCCGTCCCGCCTCGCCCCGCCGGTCGCTCCTCTCAGTTCTGCCACGGCGGAGCCCGTTTGCGCTGCACTCAGACCGCTCCGCAGGAAGGGGTCAGTGGTAACAGCATGGGCAGAAATACACCGTGGGGTGGGCTCTGGCCTTGGCCCTCTGAGGAGCCCGGCCCGGCCCGCAGCTGTGAGGGCGCAGCCTCTGCCGCGGGGCGGGAAGCGCAGGGAAGGCGCTTGAGGAGCGGCCGGGGGCCGTCCTGTGGGCTTTTGTACCGAGCGTTTTCTCAGCAGGACAGGCTTTATTAATTAGAGGACTTAAGGAGAGAAAAAGATATTTGTATCACTTGGGAATGCTGCAAAAGCCACATGGATTGTACTGTGTGAATTACCGCAGCTGAAAGACATCAGTTCGGGCAAGGGCGCTGTGCAGAACAGCACACAAAATAGGAAATACACATTTGATTGTATGCAGGCTGGTCCGTGGGGATGAGCATGTCATCAGTGAGAACTGTTATTATTGACTTAGCTGTGCAGTCATGCCATTTTCTCTTCTACTTGCTTTTTGCCTTTCCCAGCCTGTCAAACGCACCCTCCCACAAATGCAAACGCTGATTTTTCTGTGGGGCTCAGCAGCTCCTTTCTCCCTCTCTGATGAGCCTCTCGCACAGCTCGGGATTAGGGTTACTCACCACTGCGTGAATACATGAGAAGTACACTACGAGTACCTTAAGGTTTTCTAAAGAGTCAGCAGCTTTGCGTAGGTAATACTGCAGTTGTTTTCTCTGAATGATAATATTCTGCTGTAGGAATTATATCTTGAAATATTTATTTGAATTTTTCAACTGCAGGTTCAAGTTGTAAACGCAGAAAGATTCTACTTAATAATAATGTGTATAGATCAATGTCATGCGTGGTTGGGTTGTTCTTGTACGCTCACTTTACTGGAATGCTTGAAGGTGTAGTCCAGTCTTTCAATTTAGGGAAATTTACCATTTACTTTAACAACCGGCAGCAACTGTACAAGAAATAGCACCAGGAAACATGATTCATCAAATGTTAGGAAATGCATCTATTTCACTGTTGCCTGAAAAAAACCCAAAACCCTAGCACATGTTGGAAGCGGTATATTTCACAGCACGGACGTTTCATTTTTAGATACAAAAATGTTCTAGTACAAAGGATACATAAGATGCAGTCAATGGTTACACAGCAATTAGTAACCTCCAAAATGCTGTAATGCAGCTTTCTTCACACTCTACATATTTAAATGCCTTCTTAGTTTTGCTAGTAGACATGATGCTTCCATGTCTGTATTTATTCATATTATTAAACATACAAGAAAAAATAACGTGCCGATGAATTGGTAATTCTTACCATTAATCAACAATATAGGGTGATGTTCAGCCTCTAGGTTTTAACAGCACCCTTGGGAGGTGCTGATCTCCAAATTAGTTTTACTTGCACAGTTCTGTAGTTCTATAACAACTATATTTTTTAACATTTATATTCTGTACCCTTATTCTGGTATTCATGGATAAAAAAAAAAAAACAGAGTTGTCCTTCATTTTTGACAAAGAGCTACAATGTCCTAAGGATAAAGGATACTATAGATTGTGCATCTAAACAACGTGTCAGTCATATCTCAGTAACCCTTGTAATTATTAATTTTAGAGTGAAATTTTTCTCTAAGGACGCCTCAAAGGAAAAAATCAGCTATTTAACAGTGAATGAAGACTGAATAATAATTAGTAATGATTAAGTGGGTGCAGAGAGACCTTGAGCTGCTTCCCTACAAACACAAATTTACCTAAATATGGTGGATTGAGACACATTTTTCTGTGCCATAAATAATGAAAAAGCAGGCTATAAAGAAAGGAATTTTTTTCATTTTTTTTATTCACAAAGGTATTAGTAAATGGTAACGTATAAATTTGACAAGTTGAGATTAAAACATACGTTATACTGAATAGCCAAGTTATGTAACAGAGTACCATTATTGTAAGACTACACAAAGTCTTACATGTTACATTATATACTTATGTAACTCTACAAGACCATGTATGTCACCTCAGAATATTTTAAAACTGACATAGAACAAGTCAAAGAATAACAATTTCATTTTGTGGCTACAGGAGAACAAAACCTTTAAAGCTTTTTTGTGAAACAGAACTGTGTCTAAATTATATTCCTCAATGTAAAAAAACTTGGGTTTTCCATTCAGCTCTGTGGTGTGTCTATGTGCATTTCTTCCTGGAGGAGACCAGAGGTATTTACCATGGATCTCCCAAAACATACCCATGAAAAACAATGCATATTAAATTTTCAGCACCATAAAGTATCTCAGTTAAATCTCATGTAGAATTAAGCAGTTATTGACCAATCTGATTATACTCAATTTTTCTTATGTCAGTACCAATGTTTTCTTGGTTTGATTCTGGTAAAATAAAAAAACTGACACTGGCAAATATATAGACAGTACCCAAGGCACTTATAATTAAGGAATTTTACCAGGTTTTAGTGTAGAAATCGATTTGATAAATGTGTAGATGATTCTAATACTCAGGTCTTTAGTTAAAATACTTTTACTTGCTCATAATAGTACCTACAATGAACTGTACTGTACAAATACAGAAGATATAAGGCCTTACTCGGAGACCTTCAGGCAAAGCTAGGAAAACTATACCATTACACAATTCCAATGAAAAGAATTAGATATAAATGAATATTTTTTTTAAATATTCCCTGAACTCCATTGTGAATTTTAGCCCTTTCTGTACATCAGGCCCTATTACCTATGCTAAGGAGGCAGCAGTCACCTGTCTGTAAGCTGAGCTACATGTTCTGATAGTTCTTTTTGTTTATAATAAACCTGTATTTCCTTAGACTGCACAAAAGTGGAATATGCTAACAATATTACAGATAATAAATAGTCATAACAATAAAAGTGACACTTTCTTAAGGGGGCTTTCACTTGATAGTAAATATGACAGCATACAAGTTTCTATTTTTTGTCTTTTAAGTGTGATCACTGAGGCTGACCCCAATGCTGCTAATGCTGGGTAAGCCAAGAGACACACAAAACAATTCCTCTCTGAGAATACGTGGTGAGCGTGGCACCATGAACAGGTCCACTTACTAGCTCATCTTTCACCGATTCTTTAACCCGTTGCCAAAATAAATATAACAAATCGAATTTTAAGTGACCTATAACAAAATTAAAGATATTTTAAATTAAAATCTTGTCCCTAATCCAAAATATACAACAGTTGCCATGTGAAACACAATGAGAAACCTTAACAACATGTAAAGGACACTTAGAAAAAATTAACTTCCAAAAATACTCTTATGAAGTATTCAACACTGTCTTAGACCTCCTGACAGCAAAACTTAACTTAAAGGTTAGACTTCAAAGGGCGTCATATGTATATATGTAGTAGAGCAGCTCATAGAGTAGACTAACATGGCTTAAATTATTGACTTACAAGTATGTTCAGTGCAATTCAAATTGAGATCGAGTCACATAGAATATATCTGAGAACTTGCATAAAAATTCCTTTCTCTGGTAATGCAGTGTTTCTGAGAGTGTGGACTAAGATTATATGGAATAGGATAGATTCATTTCAAAGCTGAAACCTACTCCAATCTCTCTGAAGATTTCTGTCTGCTTGTACACAGTTGGATAACAATAATGGGTATTGCTAACTGGTTGCTGATCAGTGCTTGCCCTATAACTTCTAGGACTGTGTATTTTAATAAGACATACATTATATGTAGATGCTTTCTGAAATACACTGCAAAAGGATCATAAATTATTTTGGCAATTGTTTGTGTTTGCCATATCTTTTTATATTGCAGATGAAAAGGAAGAAGGCATTTCTGTTTACAGAGTGGCATTGTGCTTTAATCTGCTTCAGAACAGATGTTTTCTGTTTCTTCTCAGTGTGATCGCTTTTGTTCTCTTCAGTCAGGGCTCACGTTTCTGATCCAAATCTCCTACTTAACCTTACATGAAAGGTACACTTTTACCATCTTTCTAATGAAGAGACAGTCCTTATTTCTTCTTCTGAGCTGGCCACTGCTAATAAATCGGTCCAATTTATGATTCAAAAAGTTCAGAACTGTTTAGTTTGTCTTCTTCATAGAGCAAAATATTTTCCATTAGCTTCTTTTTTTGATCATTTATCTTTATTTTCCAAGATGTCTCTCTGGCTAATGCTGAAAAACAAAAAAGCCCAAATATTGAGAAAAAAATCCATCTATTGTCTAAGGAATAGATGATAATTTTAAATTAAAAAAAACCCGACAACCTAAACTGGCTTAGGAAAAACATCTGATAGAAGAACAGAAAATATTTTGTAGATTTATTGGTAAAATCCTAATCAAGGAGAAAAGATTTACTGAAATGTGTTTAGAAGTAGGAAGAAGAACCTAAGCAATTTGGGAAAAGACAGTAATTTGTCCCTACTATTATAATCCTAGATCACTTTTACAAAGACTTCGGTTATCATAACAGGAGTATGGGCAGTTTTGCCAAAACAGCTTGAAGATCGTATGCTTTTGACTGTTCTGTGTGCACCCTTCAGATTTTTCTAGATTTACCTTGTGAAGAACATGAAGAGTCAAGGTCTTCATTTTGTTGTTGAAAGGTGCTCTGTGCAGTAGACACCGCTTCCAAGACGTCATCGCTTTTGGTGCATGCCGCATTTCTTTCCTGGAGTCCATTTGCAGGATTTTCCTGCTTGATCCTGTAAACAGAGGCTGCTGTATTTTCTGAATTGTTACAGCTGTTGCTAGATAGCTCATCTGTAGATCTTTCTGAAGGATTCCATATAAAACTGCTTGATTCATCTGATTCACAAGGGACCCTTGACATTTGACCGCAGTAAATGTCAGGTGACACAGCTCCTATTAAAGGTGTGCATGGATTGGCACTTGTCAGGATCACTGGCTGTGTGCTGTCCTCTTTATTCTCTCCCGCAGAAAGCACATCCATGCTGAGACTAGTTGTCTCATCATCCGTTTCTTCTGGAGTGTTCATGGAGAATCCAGAAGTGCTGCCTCCACAGATGTAATGCTCTCTAAATTTATTTTCAGCTATTTCCATAATTTCAAGCACCTGTTTTTAACAATAAAATCTGTGAATGCAGAATAATTCCTGTACCCCTGCTTACACTCATTCTCCTATGTCAACACTCTCAAAAATAAGTAAGGCATGAATGCTGTAGCTTTAGACCTTGCTGTCAAGAAGACTAAAGTCTTCGTCATGTATTTAAAGTATTACCTCTGCTATGTTAGAATTCTTCTTTCTCAGACAAAGGCAGATGGCCGAGGCAAAATCAATAGCAACCTCTTCCAGCAAGTGTCCTGCTTTCCTGTCTAGATATTTACAGCATATTTCCTTGGCAGCTAGCTTTTCAAAATTTTTTACTTTGGAGTATGAGCTTTCTTTCGCTATTTGAATTTCATCAGCAATCATATCTTTCTGTTCAAAGGAAAGAGAGACATTAGTGAAGGCAAAATTAACACAAACATTTATTTCTATCTGAATCACTAAGAATATGACTCTTGCCGTATGTTTGTTATTATTGCTCCTTAACTGCTAGTTGACACACCTGAAAGCTTTAAGAATCTCCGTTCATGCAACTGACAGAAATGTTTGTTTTCACAGGAGAGAGGTCAAATTTTTTCTCTGCAGGTGTCTAATGTCAAATTCACTAAAGGAGACCCAGCTTTTCTAGGCTTATGCCCATTTATAGGAATGAAAATCAACACTGTATATAGCAGCGTTCTTGCACAGGTGTTTTTAAACATTTGCTAAAGAAATCAGAAACCTAGGATCCTTTATTTTCTGAACCCATTTGAACATTGCTGAATTGCTTGGAAATAGTAAGTAAGAATACTATCGTTTTCCCCTCAAAGGCTTCAACAAGATGGCAAATCAGAAGGAGCACATCCCATAGAAGGAATATAGGTGGAGTCTGTTTTCAGGACGATGGTGTTAATGGCATTCAGTGAGCCTGGCCAGTTCTAGTTGCTTGTGAAAGTAGTTTGTGTAGTTCTAATCACAGCTTGGGCAAATTGGCCAGGATATAAATTCCAGACACCAGTGCAATACATAAACACCTGATAAACATCATGATGAGCAACTGCAGTTACCACCTACCCAGGTTTCCCCATTCACCATTCAGTTTGGCTCGTAACACCTCTTTCTGGCACATAAAAACCATGCAGCAGCATTTCAGCACAAAGCCTTGTCTCTTAAATAAGCATGTATTTAAACACCAATTATTCTGGAGTATCTCCTAATGTAATCAGGCCAGCACTCATGAGTGTGGTATGTGAATGGGAATATATATTCTGCTTCTATCTAAAGCCAGGTAGGTTATTGGTGTTAATGGAACCAGGATATGGCTTCTAAACATCCCTTCTTCAGGATGAGTACAGCAGACTGCAAATAACAACCTGTATTTATATAAAATGAAAATTCATTTTATGACAGCAACCCCATTCACTCGTGTTGGTATTCATTATGCCTGCTTTTTCTTACCAGATAAACAGGGTGTCTTCCTTCATCCAGTGGCTTAATCCCTGTCAGAATCTCTGCTAAGACCTAGAAAGTATATTTGGAAGATAAAACAATTTGTTCAGAAATAATTCTATTTTTAAAAGTGAGTTTTGTAACTAAAGACATATTGAACCGCCAGAGCATTTTGAAATTAGATTTTTACTTCAGGTAGCTTAACAATGCCAGATCTGGGCAATCTTTATGACACTTCACATCTACCTCTGGGGCCCAGTCCAAATTTTATAGTTAGATACAATAGATATCATTGAAACAAAGGATGAGAAGAGAGCCACTCTAAATCTAGATAAGAAATCACACTGAACAGAGTAACTTCCTGTTTAAATGGAAACACCTGGAGACAGGTGATGTCACAGACTGTCAATTATTTTAGTTGAAATTCCAAATTAACAGGTGATGTTTGTAGCAGTTCATGGGGCAAATCTGCAAGAGTTCTGAGAACCTGACTGCAGTTTTTCTGCTACTCTTTTTTTTTTTTTAAACTATCAGCAGAGTAATATTTTTTTTGCAACAAGAAATAATTTTGTTTCTGTTGTTCAAAAGATTCACCTCATTTTGCCACAAACTGAAGTATATATGGAGTGTGAACATAGTTAAAAACAGGATTTCAACACATTATATAGTCAGCAACTACGACATGAAATTGCTGGCAAAACAACTATATGAGGCACATGCTTTTATATCCAATTTCCTGTCTAGAAGCACCAAAGAATGCAACTGAACATGGGAAAAAGGCAACATACCACACCACAGCTGAACATATCAACTTTTTCTGTTAACTGCCCATGTCTGATAAAATCTTCCGGCAGATAAGTAAGGGAAGCTTGTAGGACTTTGGTTTTCATCATAGCATATTCTGATTTTTTATCAACACAGCACAATCGCAGACCTGAATGTCCAAGCTTTGGTGTAAAGTTTTCATCTAACAAGACATTTGAGCTGTGATAAAGAAAGACAAATAACAATATTGGTCAAGTAATTACTTTAAGTTGAGGTAAAGAATTACAGTTTTACACTTTTAAAATTAAGTGCTGAAAGGTTCCAGCATTTGGCCTGCTGTGTGTGAATGAAAGGATAAAGAATGGTAGAAAGGGAGAGGGGGAAGAACAAGCACTCCAAAAATTACTTCAAAAGAATATACTCCCATCATTTAGAAAAGATTAAACATTAAACGGTAAACACCCTACAGAACAAGAGATAGCAAAAAGATACTCCAAATTACAAAATTTAAAAAGATTTAAAAATTGCATAAGCTTTCAGCCATTGTTGTTAAAGAAATCCTGGAATTAACAGGTGACCAAGGAAGTGCTGATAGGCCAAACCCCTCACCTTTTGATATTCCCATGAAGAATTCCAAAATTATGTAAATACTCTACAGCTCGGATGAGTCCTATAGAAATGTTAATTCGCATCTCCCAGGTCAGTGGAGCAGAATCATCCTGCAAGGAAGTGAGGAAAAAATTGGTATTTTATAGAATAAAAATCTGTAAGACATCAGCAGTTTTGAAAACCAAAGACTGAGTTTTAGTCCCAATCAAAACTCCTGCTGACCTAAATCAAAGTTTGGTCCAAGGCAGAAACTGATGATTTGTAGGCCAAGGGAGGAACCTGTTCTTCTATATTGTGCTGCACATTTTGCCTGCCATAGGACACCGTGAGATACGGATACAGCAAGGATCACGCTTGTCCAAACCATCAAGTACTGGCCATTATTGAGACATAGCGCTGGTTTCGATGGATTGCTTTTCTGATGTTTCTTTGCCCTATGATCTCCTCTGCAAATGCTCTTTTAGTAGGCATGAACATCTCAAAGTGTTGCCTCTTAAGCCCTTGTAAAACTTCATAGCACATTATGCCAATGAATATGATGACGGATTCTACAGAAATGTATTCCCAAATCCAATGAAATATTACAATATGAATAGACGCATGTCCTGGTTTCAGCTGGGATAGAGTTAATTTTCTTCTTAGTAGCTGGTATAGTGCTGTGTTTTGGGTTTAGGATGAGAACGTGTTGATAACACACTGATGTTTTGGGTCTTGCTAAGTAGTGCTAAGTTGTTGCTAAGTAGTGCTTACACTGGTCAAGGACTTTTCAGCTTCCCATGCTCTGCCAGGTGCACAAAAAGCTGGGAGGGGGCACAGCCAGGGGGGCTGACGCAGACTTGCCAAAGGGCTATGCCATAACATATGACATCGTGCTCAGTATATAAACTGGGCGAGTTGGCCGGGGGGGCAGCGATCACTGCTTGGGGACGTGCTGGGCATTAGTCGGCAGGTGGTGAGCAATTGTACAGTATATCACTTGCTTATTATTGTATTATTATTATTTAATTTTTTAATTATTATTATTATTATTATTACTACTACTATTACTACAATTCTATTTTATTTTACTTCAATCATTAAACTGTTCTTATCTCAACCCATGAGTATTCTCCCTTTTACCCTTCCAATTCTCTCCCCCATCCCACTGGTGGCGAGGGAGTGAGCGAGCGGCTGTGTGGTGCTTAGTTGCTGGCTGCAGTTAAACCATGACAACACATTTTGCAGATTCCATATTGCTTTAAAAATCTAAAGGCTGCACAGCAGAAACTTCCTGTTGACCCGATCTGCTTTGCAGTAGAAAGACTGGAAAAGAGCTGCAGCTTTTCTAGTACTTGCAGTCAAGATATTTGGGCACTTTTTTTTTTTTTTTTTGGCTGTCTCTCAGAATTCAAAGAGATATAATTGCTTTTCATACAATAACAGGACAGGACTTGTAATCACAGATAGATAATAGACCCAGATTATTTGCTTACTTGACACTGAAGTTTGTTTTGTAGCGATCCGTTAGGCAGGTATGGATATATCAGACAGTGCAACCCAGTTTCTACTGAGAAGCCCAGCAGCTGCAAAATGTTGACATGACAACACCTGCAGGCACAGATCAACAATGACTTGCAAATGAAATAAGAGCAACACAGAAAAATACATTCCTGAGCTGGAATAAATTCCTAAATTCAAGGCAACTGGGAATTGTATTCTGCAGCTGGAGGCACAGAATGGCTCTGAGCAGGACTGCAGAAGGCTGGGTAACCTAGCAGCAAAGAGAGGGATCGTTATAGCGCAGCCCCATTCTGGGCAAGCAGGAGGGATACAAAGCTCCAGAAGGCACCGCTTCCTCACCATCTCCAGGACTGGCAG